TAAGTATAAAACAGCAAGCTAAAAGACATCAACATGATGCCATTGGAACAGATTAAGCACAAAAAGCCTGTCTAAAAAGATAAGTTTTTAGTTTGGACTTAAAAAACGATAACTCAGTTATGAACCGTTAACTCCGGCGGTAAGGAGTTCCAGAGCCAGGGGCCGTATACGGCAAATGAGCGATCACCCCACTTTTTGTACTTAGTCCGCGGGACAACCAAGGACATGTGCTCTGAAGAACGCAGTGCCCTAAGTGGAGTACGAATGGACAGAAGATCGGACTGATATAGTGGAGCGAGGCCGTTAATAGACTTGAATACAAATAATAACACCTTGAAATCAATTCTGGACTGCACTGGCAGCCAGTCTCCACTGGCAGGGAGGGTTGTAAAGTGTCAGAAGTCAATTGTCAGTCTCTTCAATCACCAGTTTTCTAAACATCATGGTGGACAACAAGCGTGACAGCAGTGGAAAAAGCAAAAATAGAAGGAGGAAGGTGACCAGGAGAACCTTTGAATAATTCCACATTTGATGGTATATTTTAAATCAGTCACAGCACGTGAGGATAAAGGTGGAGATGATGCAGAGGTGAATGTGGCCAAAGAGGAATATGTGCAGCTAGACGAAACCATGGCTAGTGAAGTGTACATGACCGCTAGCTGGATAATTGTGGATGCCTGCTACACCATGGATTCTGCTCTCTGGGGACAGGTGGATGAGCCTGTGAATAATGGGCTCGTCAGGGGACAAAGGTATGCCAGAACAAGGATGCTGATTTCAAAGCCTCAGAAAGAATCATTAAAGAGCAGAGGCTATTTTTTTCACAGTTTACTTTCAAAGAAGGCTCCTAAATGGTGAGTGTGTACTTCGGGAATGGCTGTTTTGTTCCCCATCTACTGGTTCTGTCTTCTTCTTTGCTTGATGCCTTTTAGGTGATGACACAGTGAGTCATCTTTTGAACTGGCTATAGTGAATAGAGCCATGCCAAAGATTGATTAGCTGAGCACAAAAACAGCGATAGTCACAGAAAAACCATTATGTGTTACATCAAATGATGGACAAATTGACAGAGAGCTGAAATAAACTATTTGAATCAGAATGTACATAGTGGACTGAAGTTTTGAAAAGAGTGGTTGGTGGCAGTTGTGACATTTATGGCTAAATGTGGACTGGCTTTCCGAGGAACTAGGGTTGTGACAAGATCTCTTGCGATGAGAACTCGTGATATTAAAACATTACGATATTTCTCATCAAGGCAAAAGCTGTCTTGCAGTATCAGCACTTAACAGAACCGGAGCAGCAGCCAGTATGATAGAGTGAGACGACAAAGTGATGGTACATTCACGTTAGTCCAGCAAAAATGCAACTCCCTGCTATGTTTTATCACAAGGGGTTGTATTGGTCGTGGGGTGAAGGATCGCAGGGAGAGTGTTGTAGATATGGTCATGTTGTGACGAATCGACATGATTGGCTTCATTCACATTTCCAGCCTGTGAGTTTTCATTGCCATTGGTTAGCCATATTGCTAATGTAGCCTACTCTACCCTAGTACCAATTCTACCATCAGTGTGTCAGCACTGATAGATAAAAAACACAGTTTAACATTCAAATGAAAATACATGTTGTATGGTACAGTGCATTAATTGTGGCTCAAATTCAACCGTGAATAGCAGCTCATGTTCATGCTAACAAGATAAACTGAATAAGACAATTCATACTCAGAAAGTAGAACTGACATTCATTACAAGCTGATTAGTTCATTCAAAATGCACTTGCATTGTCTTGCATCTTGTGACATTCAGTTGAATAAAAGACTTTTTCCAGTCACATATTTCACCATTGAAAATTTCTTAACAAATAGTGTTAAAATATCATCTCACTATGGTGTACTGTCTCATGAGTTAAGTGTATTGTCACACCCCTACGAGACACCAGTGAAACCTTTGGCAGACCTGACAATGGTAACTACATAGGAATATTAAAACTGATCAATGAGTTTGACCCTTTTTCAAGTCACATATTGAAAAATACAGCAATGCAGAAAAAGAAAACCATAAAACACACCTTCCAAAAGGAAAGGACCTAACTAAATAGATAATTTTTATTTATTGGCATATGATGGTCTTTTTAACAGAAACCCCAGCCCCCTTAACAATCAAATAAATAAGGATTACATTAATAATCTTTCCTTATATGGACTGGTATAGTGCGTACACTTAAGATGAGGTCATGAAGCAGAAATCACTTATTCACATTTGCATTTGTGTGCTGCAGAAGTGGCTTTTTTATCTTTTTGTGCTAAAGAGGCTCTGCCTGTAATTCTCTTGATGTAGCATTTCTGTGCAGAGTAGCTCCATATCCTTCTTAAGGTAGGGCCCAAGCAATTACTCATGCCCAGGGGCCCCTGTCATCCTTGATTCAGTCCTGTCTCTCACCGACAAGGCCCACCGCAGATAAGCTGCCTACAGGGTGCGACTAGTGCCAATGGTGTGAAACACACCGTGAAGACAAGGGTGACAGACACTTACTGATGGCCCGACAGTGGTCAACAGCCGACAGTCAGCCTGGTGTGACAGGGCTTAAGGGTCATCTCAAAATTTAAAACAACTCATAGGTAAAAATAAGACTTTTTAAGATGTTTTATTTCCTTGATTTTTTTTTTTTAATTTTTATCAAATGTAATACTTTTTAAGGATTTGTAGTAGCCCTGAATGTTGGGGGATTAGTTTACCCTGCTTGCTGTTCAGATTCTTAAAGCACTACCTCCCAGAGAAGAGCTTTTACTGCCAAAACGTAACTGAAGAACCATTTGGTACAAACAGTAATTCCTTGACATAGATAATTCTGACTGAAACTCTACTTTTGTACTGAAGAAATTTATGAGGAATTCATCCAGCTGGATACATTTTATGAAGAGACAAAACAGCCATTAAATCCCATAGACAGAGAGGGAGAGCCTAAGCACTGCTGGAGGCTATCATCCTCTGCTCTTTTCTCCCATCATCCAATCTGTATGTCCCCAAATCAACAAGAAATGTACATCAGAATCTGTGTGGAAAGGATTTTTTTTCCCTTTCTTTCTTTTCGCCCACTGACTGTTATGATTCAACTCAGCCTTTAGAACTGGGTTGAGAAGAGAAGAGGAGAGAAGAGCGTGGGCTTAACCTGCTTCTCCTTGTCTCTGTCTCTTTATCTCAGTACCTGCATCCCTTCTGCAAAGTGCTGCTCTCTTTTACTCAGAAATTAAATCCTAGGTTTGTACATGCCTAAGAAGCATACAATAGACAGACAGATAGGAAAAACTCAGTGGTGGGATGTGTGAAGGAGATGGGGACTGAGATGACCAGCTGACTGTGAAAGAAGTGTGAATCATATCTTTTACACCTAGCTTTTCCTGCCATTCCACACAAACTAAGGTAGAGTGATTACTTTAGACTGCATTTCTTATGGTTATTTTTCCAGCATTTCTGCTTCAATACATAATTCACATTACAGTATGGTACATGTTTCAAATAAATTAAGGGGTTAAACAATGATTAAATTCTTGAATTCTCATACAGTACAACCAAGGTAGCTAGCTAAGTTGTGCCAATTGCAGCTGAAGGTTGGTGCACATATCTGTGTTCTGGTCACAGAGTACAGACTGTAAGTAGACAGTGATCCATGTAATAACTAACAGAATACCTGACAAGGAGCACTGAGGCTAATGCTGCATGTTGGCTTTAATTAAATTTGTTTCCCAGTAACATCCAGGGTTATTTGGATTTGTCCAAGAGATGGCACCCTAAATCAGACAGTACTACACACTCTGTCAGTCATCATGGGTCTGCCAACCAGCCTTTCCTGGCTTTGGCCATCAGTGCTTTAGGAGATTCATGATAAATCACAGTGCCCTCCATACTACCTAGTCAAAACTAGAAAACAAAAGGTGCAGCAACACTTGCAGTGTATGGAGCAACATTAATGTACAAACCAACATGTGTCATTTATTTTATTATATATTCATTTAAAAAATCAAATTTAATACTTTTTAAAACTTTTAGGGTCTGCGGGAACCCTGGCTCCTGGTGGGGGATGAAACCACACAGAGACCGAATAAAAACTGTATTGCAGGTGGAACGTAATGTGTCCGCTCCCGGTGGAAATAAATCACAATAAATCCTCTCTTACCCTTACCTCCTCACCTGTTGTCTGCATTTGGGTTTGCTTCTACAAAAAAATAACAATTTCTCCCTACTACTGACTGTAACAATATTAGGTTGTGTTTTGTGGTTTCACTGTTATCCAGTGTTGGTAAACAGTACTGCGAACAAAAGACCAGACAGCAGAATAAGTGGAGGAAAGCTAACCTTTGAGTAACCCTAATCCATGTTTAGACTGATAGCAGCTACTAAGCATAAAGCTAACTACACATAATAATCCAAGCTGATAAATACCTTCTTTGCTACACATTGCCAGAGAGCTCCAGGGAAGTAATGGCTCACTGGACACTCAGTGTTCTACTTAGACTTGTTCACATGTAAAGTGCCATCTATGAGAAATTCAAGAAAAGAAGTTGATTCCTCCCAACCTAAAGAATTAGTTGTAGGGGTAAAGTTCATGTCACCCTGGGAGAAGGTTTGAACATGAATGTTTTCCTTAGATTATTACACACCATTTTCTGTTGAATGATACCAAAGACATGATACTAGAGAAACCAAAACTGACCCTGCATGAAGAAGGCATCTTTACCTCTATATCAATGCCAGGTGGCATAATGCACATTCTGCTGGTTTGGGTCCATGTGCTCTTTAACATACTGTAGAATGCACTTTTCCTAACTAATAACCATGATGAAGGAGACATATTACAAGGTAGATTTATTTCTTCTTAGTAGACAGACTGCAGTTTTTGAAGTGCATTTTCTGTGGATTAAATAAAACCTTGATGGAAAGTAGCAACACTAAAATGAAATATAGTCAAATAAGAGAGTTAGTGAGTGTAGGTTCCTGTTCACTCACCTCCTTTAGATCCCCATTCCTGTAGAGTTGTTGCTAACTGGAAGGGACTGACATCTCTGTTTCGATGGCCTCACTTTAACCCGAGGTTGTCTGGGAAATGACAATGTACACACACACACAGAAATAGACACACAGTTACAACATAGAATAAGTTACATGTGTGAAATATTGGTTCTCAGTAGATCCAGGCCTCTTACTCTCAAACTTCCAGACCTTTGTCTGGTCAGGCTCATGCAAGTGTATGAAAATATCAAGATAAAAGAAATATCAGGATTTCAAGACCTTTAGCTGTCCTCAGGCAGCCATTTGATGAAAAATTGTCACCTATACAGAAGAAGTCTCTGTGGTGCTCTTTACTCATTCTAATAACAGACTAAATGAGCTGTCTGACAACCCATACTCAAAAGTAAAAAATGTTGCATGAGAGTTCGAGTGGAAAGATGTGGTCTCTGGTGTGTGTACTCTGCATGTTTGTAATATCTTTGCATTCTCTCCTAATGGTGTGCTAAACTAAAGATAGATTCTAAAGAATATGTGATGCTCACCTTACAGCAGACTATGTGAAATATGATGTTGAGACTCAAAACTCTGATTCTGGGCACTACACTGCAAGATGTCTAACCACAGTAGCATCATGGTTACAGTCGAAGCTAATATGAAAGAACACGTCTTTATCCACTTGAGTTAAGTAGGCACATTCTAATCCTGGGTGAGTATAAGCCTGTGTTTTCTGTACCATGTTTGGCACTATTTCTGTTACATCACAGGGCTTAAGAGGTCTGCAAAGAAAACATCCTAGGAGGAGGCCAAAAAGAAAAGCACAAACTTTTAGCCATTTTACTTTTTACAGCTGACGGGCAGTGATAATTTGCTCTCAGCAGCTATTTCTCCTTTTGCTGTTGGTCACGTCACCATTCTGATGACACACTGGCCAGTGTGATGCTGCCAAAGCTCGGTTATCCTCATCTAAAGAGAGTATAAAAATGCCTATATTAAGGCCTCATTTCAATTGATTCTGTCACCAAAATGTGATATCTTGTCTCTGCCATGGTGTTATGTTACAGTCTTTCTACTAACCTCGGACCATGGACCTGACACAATAATTATTATATCGAATTATTGAACAATATAAACATGACTGACAATTTTTGCTGACCTTGATATTTCCCATTGTGTTTACATGCATGTTTGTTTATATAAGAGTGAAAATCATCAACATTTTTACCAGTAGAAAAAATGTAGAAAAAAATAAAAAAATCAGCTGGACTTGGTTTTAGGTCGAAGACGTTTCACCTCTCATCCAAGAGGCTTCATCAGTTCTGCCCAACTGGCGTTGAGTCGGAGATACGTATTTATCCCCATTGGTGGTGTTTCAGTCCTTTGATGCCCAGCAATGTCCTCTAATGACTGAGTCTCTATAGCCCGGTATCAGTGAGCGTCAAGGACATAAAACATCTTAAAAAGTCTTATTTTTACCTATGAGTTGTAGATGGAAGACAAGTTGTGTCTTAGTCCACCACCCCTATTTAGTGAGGGGTGTTCTATTTTTACAAAAATAGCTTCCTTGACTCCTCTCAAACCAGCGATGTTCTCTGGAGAGGATCTGGACTTCACTGTCCTAGAAAGAGGACAGTGTCCTCTCCTCTCGACTGTGTTGAAGCTGTTTACCATGGCAAGCTAGCTGCATATTTTGTTTGCAGCTAATGTTTGATAGTTGGCTAATAGGTGTTTTAATAGGAGTTTTCCCCCCAGCAACTGCATAACGTTGCATCCAGTCAGAAGTTCTGGAAGAATAAGAATTGGCTTCAAAGCCAAATTCCATTGTTTAAAAACTGTGGCAATGAAAAGTGGTAAACCACTAACCTAAAAGTTAATCTAAAAAAACACCACCCCATCTTGTTTTCTGAGCTGCAAACAAAATATGCAGCTGAAGAAAAAGAGGGGTCTTCCCTACAGCTGGCTATCACAGATGTGATGCCTCACACAGCAAATATAAACATCACAGCATGAAATGATGCACTCTCACAGACAGTGTAACTTGCTATGTAGCCAATTTTGCTGATTAGGACTGGGCTGTCCCTATCCAAATACCTATGGACCCAACTGTATAGTATATATAAAGAAGGACAAAGCCACCTCAAGTCGATCGCCCATGGTGGCTGGTTGCAGTATAGGTAGTGTATTTGGGATGATTTGACAGCTTTTATTGGCGGTCTAATACTGTCACTCCACATCATTACAACTGCTCAGAATCCTGTTGCAAAATGCATCACAAAAGCAAGATGGCATCCACTGCTATATTTTTGTGGCGGGAAGTGGTGACACACCATTCATTTTACTATGTTGGCTATGGGTGGTACTGATAGTTTTTAGATCGATCCACCCCTAGTCAGAGCTAAAGATTTTCCTTTTCTCAGCTGAAGAAACAAGGGGTCTTGTGGAGCTCTGATAGTTACTAAAATCATATTAATGTCATTTTGAGACAGTCAGTGTGTGTTGTAGCTGAACTAGCAGTGCTACTACAAACAGGCGCTACATAGCCATAGCCCTGTTGATTATCATGGTTGACACTACTGTTCATCATAATATCTTGCTAAGCTCTTAATGCCCCTGAGATATCACTGGTCCATGTGTTGTGTTTACAGTCTCTTCTGAGTAATAAATCTCATCCATATAGTACAGTTTTTGGCTCTTATCTGGCTTGCTAATGCTAATGAAGTATATTGTCTCCATGTGTATACTTGTGTTAGACGTAGGCTGCAACTGTTTTTAGCCTATATTTGTTTACATTTTGGAACATTACGTATGCCCAATTAACTATTAACAGTGATTTTTTTTCTGCTAGATGGAGTGACAACTGACAATGAATTATTATAATACTTAGGAAGTTTTAAAAGTCCAGTGACTCTCAGGCAAGTTCTGAAGTGTTCCCATTTCTGCACTTTGTACATGCATACAATGAGTTCCTGTATATTATGGGTCACAACTTGGGCCCCGTTCTTTACCCAATATTTTTTAGGCTTTGGAACATTTAAGTACACTAAATTAATACTAATAAGTGATCTGTAAAGATCTTGTTTGTTTGCTTGTTTTTGTTTATTGTGCACAATAAAAATACAACTATAAAATATGTAATTACACATGACACTTATACAATACAAAATTATTATTCTAATATTCTCAGTTGTACATAAATTCAACATAACATGAATGTCCAGGGGAGACAAGAAGCTAAAAGCTTGTAAAAATCTCTCCTGACCCCTAATTTCCACCGGATGTGTCTACATTGTGTTCCATCTGCAACACGGTCAGTAGATCTGATCTCTGCCAGTCTAAATCAGTGGTTGCGATTCCAGGGACGTCCAGCTGTGTTCTGTCTCTGACGCATCTCCAATGCAGCTCTCCAAACTGCTTCACTAAAGATCGCATCTAATCCATTTTTGATGGATGCCGGTTCTAGGACACTTCTGACATGGTTCGAGCCACCAATCAGGTAGCGCTAGTTGGCTACTGCACAAGTCACATTAGAACATCAACCCGCACTGTATGTAAAATATACAAAATAATTATGAGGATGAATGTATTTTTAACACCTAAAACAAAGGCACAAAACTCTGTTTCATAATGACTGTAACCATTAAATTAAATGTAGTCTGTGTGTGTATGCTACAACACAGTTGGAAATAATAATAAACATAACTAAAACAGACAAAAAAGAATCCATTTAGCAACACAGCCTACTTAACCATTATAGAAGCTCAAAATGTAGTAAAATAGCCAGCACATAAAATCAGCACCACAACAAGCCACTCTGTAGACGCACCTGGTGGGGGATGGGTAAGTCTCATAAGTTGCATCCAGTGGAAATGAGAGGTTAACATAGAAATAAATAACAGAACAATTTAATTACATTAAATAAAAGCAAATACAAACAACAAAACCAATTAAAAATTATCAAGAGAAACAATAAAAGAAAAAGATAACAACAACTCTCCTTATGGTGTTAAAAGAAAGAAAGATTATTTTAAAGAAGAACCCAATACATATTCTTTGTGGTTGTCCAACAGTCAAAACTTTGGAGAACTGGGTAATTACAAAGGCTTGGTTAACATGTTAAAGAAAATGAGCAGTGAACAACATATAGATATGAATTCCACAGATTAGGTATCTAAATCTACATTTAGATACAGCCTAATTACTAGTAGAATATGAGTAAATATCAAGAAAAGAATAATAATAATAATAATTGTGATTATATAATATGTATGTAATACACTGATGATTTTAATTAAAGCAACAATACATAACTTGGCAGTTTTTCTCCCCCTACAATTGCTTTGTGTAATTGAGTTGTACCTAACTGTCGTAAATACTAGTTACGGTTTCACCCCTCGTCCTTGTGGGTGGCTGTGGCTCACGAGGTAGGGCAGTCGTCTCTTGACCAGCAAGTTGGTGGTTTGACTCCCGGTCTCCCCGCATGCCTAAGTGTCCCTGAGCAAGACACTGAACCCCGAATAACTCCCGGTGGCTTGACTAGTGCCGGTGCATGGCAGCCTGTTGTCATCGGTGTGTGAATGGGTGAATGGTGTATGATCTTCTGTAAAGCGCTTTGGCCAGTGCAACACACTGTGAGAAAGTGCTATATAAAATACGGTCCATTTACCATTTTATAGACAGCGGTTCATGTTAAATGAACCGTAAAAGACAATGAAAGAATGGTAAAGTGATATTACAGGATTTAATATTTACTGTGACATTGAAGCTGGAACAGTCATAACAAAAAGAATAATAAATAATGGCAGAGTCTTTAGTTTTACTGAAATACTGCTTGTATTTTCAGACAGTTTGCTTAGTGTTTGAATGTGGATGTGTGTAATGGATTGAATCATTGTTGGCAACATGATATAGGCTCATATTGCACATAAGTGGGCAGTGTAATTACAAGCTACTGCAACTGAGATGGGTTTGTTAGGCTGCAAACTTCTAAAGCTTGTTTGTTGTGACAGTAACTTTTTACATCTGGAAATAGAACTACAAATCTCCTTGAGACGGGGGATGACTATGACAGGGTTACTATGCTGAAGTATTTC